CTCCCCCCTCCACTGTAACTATACCCTCGCGTGTTATCCCCTCCCTTGCCGCGGCTACCCCTGTGTCGTTGCGGCGACGGCGTCGGCGGTGTTTCCTTTGCCGCCGCTGCTGCTCCGACTGTATAGTAGCCGTGGTCTAGTGGCACAACGCGCGGCAGCCGTCGCCGACGTAAGACGTCGTCGTTCGCTCGCTCGCTCTTTTAAACGTATACCTATCCGCCTACGCACACATACATACATAAATAAATACATACGTACACCGATAAAGATAAAACACATGCGCGCGGGGGACAAGTGAGATCATATAGTGCGCGACCCATTGGGGAGGATCGAGAACGCTCGCGCGTGCCGGCACCTGCCGTTTCTCCTTGTCCTCTGCCACACGCACCGATCTATCGGTCTTTTTTTTTTTTTTTTTTTTTTTTTTTTTTTTCCCACCCGTGCGGTATTTATAACCACCGACAGTACCGTACTTTTTTTGTCGTCACCAAGCTCTCGTTCCCCGTTCTTCGGGAGGGGTGTGCATCCATACACGGACCAGTCAGTGTGGCCCGCAAGTACGTATACTGCCGATAATCGCGCCGAGTGCGCGCAGTGTATGAAGGATAGTGTCGTTCGGGGTCCCAAGCCCCTTCGGAGATGGTCGGGTTGGACTGAGCCGTACACCGCGAGTTAGAGGTGAAGGGAGGAGGAGGGATCTCAAGGCTACGCGTGTTTTTCGGCACCAGCAGTGTCAAATAGAGTGCATCGGGGAGTCAACTGACCGCTCGTTTGGCCGATCGAGGAGGAGAGTGGCTCAGCTTTGAAGGAAATAAAAGGAAAAATAAAGGAAAAAAAAAAAAAAAAAAAAAAAGAAAGAAACAACACCCAGCCCCATCATAAACTCTTAATCAGGGGACGACGATGAAGCCCGCTGCTGCTGGCGGCCCTGCACTGAAGCTGAAAACAATAAAGAGAAGCAGACCAGGGGACGACCAGCAGCGGTCACGGGAGCGGGCACCGCTGCGGCACTTTCGCCGAGGTAGCGGTCGTACCCCCGAGGTCCCGGGGCAGCTACCACCCCCCTTCGGAAGGGAACTCTGGGCCGGCAGTTGTCGCGTCAGCAGAGGCTCCTCCGCACCTCACAAGCAAGTATTTCGCCCGATGACTCCCTTCCTCCCTCGCTCCCTTCCTCCCTTACTCTTTCCAATCTCCTCGACTAACGTTTGCATACAGCCCCTCGGTTGCACGTAATACGTCATTTGCTTTTTTTTTTTTTTTTCCTTCCTTTCTGGACCAGATACTTTTTTTTTCCTTGTTTAGTTGGCAAACATCGTCTTTTTTCCCTCCTCGGCACACCACCCCACCAGAAATCTCCAATCAGTCTATGATGCTCTCTTTGCACCTGTACGCGTCCATACGGTGTGAAATGGCATCCGCATCCGAAAGGTCCTCGAAGTGTTTCGCGAAACCCGACACCTCCTGCTTGAAGCTGCCGATGGAAGCTGATGGCTCGCGGTGATACATCGGACAGCCCAACGACCGCTACACCCATCCGTGCCATCAGGAGTATAATAGCGTGCGGTGACAAAGGCGATGACGATGCGAATTCGACACCCCAGTTTCCCTCCTGACCCTCCGCATCCCTTACTCTCTCGCCTCGCTCGCTCACATTCAGCTTGGATACCTGTTGATAGCCCGTGTGCCGCTACTACCTGCCTCTGTGTGTATATACAATATACATTTATCGAAAATCCCAAAGTACTTTCGTGTCGGCTGTATGAATACGATAAGGGGTTAATAATCCCAGCCACCCTGTCTGTTCCTATTCCAAAAATTTCTAATACTGCGGTTCATGTATATTAAACAGATGTACGATTAACTTACATTCATCACTCAAGCACTCGCAAACCCCTCCAGATTATGATCCATTGCAGTAACCCTGTTGCACGCATGGGGTATTGTTACGTATGTTACATGACACGTGTGTGGGTTTAAACGAGCCCCTGCACGATAAATATGTATATGAGCCCTACCACTTGCAGAGCAGGAGAGTATAGGCATCGGTATCGGATCGATCGGTCGGTCGGTTGGTCGCCATTTGGCCCTACTTCCCTGTTCGGCCGTTAGCACATCCCACATTTGCACCCGCTCGTCGTACCGTGCTCGTAATAAGCATACAATGTGGTTGACCAAAAGTAACATTTGAGGCTGCACCTCCGTAAAATAACTTTTGGGGAAAAAATTAATTGTAATTCATTACTGAATTTTACGACGGAAGTGACGATGGGGCTCAGCCCCACTCTTCGGAAGATGTATTAAATATTAGCACTCGTGAAGCGGAACACTTGCCCTTAACTTGCGCACACGTTGGCTTTTCTTCGGTTCAGGATGCGCGTAAATCCCCTCATCTGCCATTAGCTTGCTCATCCGTCTTCTTGGTCACGATACCCCCCCCCTCCCCTGCATATTTATGGGCTCACTGGGTGCTCATTGTCGCCGAACAATAGAAGCAATCACATCCAATACCCATCATTTCCTATCCACTACCGTCACCTTGATGTGTATCACTAGCTAGGAGGGTGTACAGACGCGTTCATCGACAGCTATCCTCTATTGTTTTCGCCCACGCACCCTCCCCCCCCCTCCCACCTCCCTCAAACCATTTATCTCAAGCTGCCGTGGCCGCGCATTTCGATACGAATATCAATATTTCGAAGCACGCCACTGTTGCGTGTCAGCTTGTTTGTTTTCGCGGCACGTGCAAACTGTGAAAATGGGATTCGTACCCCGTTATCTTGTTTTTTTCCCCTCTGTTTTTTGGCTCGGGAGTTTGGTGTGAGTGGGTGTCGCCTATTCTTTTTTTTTTTCTTTTTCTACTCGGATCTAGATCAATTTTGGTCTCATCACTGTACGTTCAAGAGTGTTGAGATAACGAGTTCCAAGATATTCATTGGATTTTTACTTTTTCTTTTATTATAAAATCCAAGACGACAGTGTCGATTTGACACGCTTCAAAGTATAATTTTATCGTTTGGTTTGGCAGAGTTACTTCAATGATTGACAACAAGTTGATTGAGTTGTTAATCAAACTCTTCTTTTAAATGTACAAGTAGAGGATGTATTATTGAAAAACACCCTTGTGTTTACAGTGATGTCTGACCTATTTCTGTTTGTAGTGAGACAAAAACTCTCGTCTGCCACATTTGGCCTGGACTTGTAGTAGGAGTGGCTATCGAGATGATTTTGATGCGTTTCCAAGAGTACTAAAAATGTGATAAATCTTGCAATGAATGTTCATTTACGTGAAAATCAAACAACTTTTATGACAAAATAAACAAATGATTATACAGAGTGTGAGCATTAATTATCAACGTATACGCATGAAAATGTTGTGAATTGCGTACTAAAAATAAAATAAACGAAAAAAACAATAGGGATCTAAATTATATGATTGTTATCAAGATAAACAATAACTGAGCCCACAACTATTATGTAAGAAAATCTCAAGAAAGTAAATGAATATACTCATTTTTCAACTAATCTTTGCTTATTTTGAGTTTGAAAAATTTTGCTATAACCAAATCACAAAAAATGTATGCTGAAAAAAACAATTTAATAAACATTTAACTAAATTTGAACATAAAAGAGTTATCCATACAAGATTAATCATGTTAGTTGTACTCCAAGTAAAGTTTATCTAACTCAGCCATTATTTTGTCTCACGTCTGGGGTTGGAATTTTTTTTTCTACGGTACTCGTTTTTGTTTGACACCACTAACCACCTTAAGAGCTTACCACTCGAGCTATTCGAGTCATGAATCATATTTATGTATTGTACATCGATATGGGTATGTTTTTATATTTTAATCCCTAATACGTGTGTACATAAATATGTACTATTTTTATAAGCACATGCACGGTAAAAACGCACATCTCTGTCTAGCGTGGAATCAGTCGTCTATTTTCTCAGAGCTACAGAAAATTGTGAATTTGTAATTTAAAAAACCTGCAGGTTTGAAAAAAAACCTTAACATCTTGACGTGTGTACAAAATAACATTTTTTAAAGACACTTCGTCATGTGGTAGCGTAAAACGCGCGGACAAACTAATAAGAAAAAGTCAGTAAATGAGTTTAAATATTATCTTACACATTTGTTTTATTTGTCAGAGCTTGTGTATAAAGTTGGTCCAAAAAAAAATCAGACCGAGAAACTTGTTTGAAAAAAAGAAAAATTAGTTCAAACAAATTTAAATTACATTTCTGGTCGGCAAGTTGTTTTTTCACGGCCGAAGACTGGTTCTACCGCCGACTATTCAACTTTTCCACTTGTATATTATTTTCGTGTCCGTGAAAACACACTCGAAGCTTACATTATATACTCCAAAGCACCACAAGCAATTTTTTGTGAGCACATTGTTATCGTTGATTGCTGTACCCTATTATTTGCACACGATATGCACATTATACATATATATATATATATATATATATATATATATAAGATTCATCGCTTGTACAAGGTTTGAACATGTACATAATCTCGGATAAGTTGAGATCAAGGCAAGTGTGTTTCTTCTGAGTTGACAAAGCAAATGAAACTCACACACGCCAGAGTAAATAGATGGAAGCTAGTTTACTTTGATGGATGCATACAAAAAAATGAGATGCAAAGACATGTGAAAAAAGGTGTAAGAAATATGTAACTGATAATATAAAAGTAGACGCAAAAGTCACAGAGTTTATATACAGTTTTACAAGGATTTACCGAAAAAATAAAAAAAAGAGACAGACAAAGAAACAACAATAAAAATCATAAATAAGAGAGCACATAAAGTGTGTTGACAAAAGATGTCGAGCAAAGTTAGGAAACAAGAAAATAATACCGCAAGTTACGCGTTGTATCAATTACCACGCCAAGTCACGACAAAAGCTCTCAGACGTAATTTATAGTTGTGTATACGACTTGTATGCGCGAGAGTAAGTATATCTCGCAGAAGCTAAGAGGGAATTAAGTGGAGCGAAAGGTCTGAGAGAAAATAAATCTGATGGTCGTAGCGCCGTCGAGCGCTCGATAACGTTTTCACACGCCCAATTTAAGCTCGCTCGCATTGTTTTCTCCCACCCTGGCCCTGATACGATTATTCTGTGATGTTATTTTTTTTCATTCTTTTTTCACCCATTAACGCACAAAAACGTTTACCCGTTCGCTCTGTTGTTTATTCTCACCATTTCCCGTACCCCCTCGTCACTGAAAAAAAAAAAAAAAAAAAAAGAGTTGCATTAAAAAAGCACTAATTGTGGAAATTGTATTACTATTAAGAAAAAGCCAGCAAACGATTGTAAATTTTTGGTGGTTTTGCACATCCGATGGAACAATAAAGTTAACCAACTGAATGTTTATCGCACACTTCTTTTCCATTGCACCGTTATTACCGAGCACCTTGAAAAGCACCTCAACAACAGCACCGTCTGCACCGATATATTGTACATACACGCACTGTACGGGCATCCATTGCCAACACCTACTTGAGTATTGTCCGCACTTTTGACTGTATCAACTGCACCAACTGTACCTGCTACTTGTACCACTACTGCTGTCTACGCTGTATTATTGCTTCGATGACGAGCCGATGTGTACCCGAGCGACTTTAAATTGAGCAGTAAGTTCGCAAAACGTGTAAAAATAACAAAATTATGCAATATTCATACCTAAATCGAGTGTAAATATTATACGTAGGATAAAGTTGAGACACAAAGTTGAGGTTGGCAATAAATTAATTGCACAAGACCGTGAAAAGTTAAAAGAGAACTAAAACAAAAACAAAGCAGTTAAGGATAGAAGGGTTGAGATATTGGAAAAAAAAAAAAAATATTATTGATAGAAAAATAATGAATAATGAATACCCGAGCCACGTATTAACGATTGAACATTGATAAGTAAAATATTTCTAACCCGGCCTGATTTCAGAGTAGCAAAAGGAGCAGCCGTAATAACCAGGCCGGCGAGCCTCGCTCGGGACGCAGCCTAAAGAAGACGAGTGGTGAGGAGCCATCGAGAATTTTGCATCGGCACGAGCTCATACACAAGACCGCGCGTCGTAGTCGTTGTTCTTGTATTGTTATTGTTTGATTGAGAATTTAAGTAACATGGTAGAAAAGAAGCGGGGCTCCGAGTCCTCGCCGAGAATGTTCGAGTGGATGATCAGCAAGCACTTGGGAGGTACTTGTGTCATGCGAATCCACAACTGAACAGCCACTACCCACAGTTTCCACAGCGATAATAATAAAAGAACAAGTGCCATTAGCAGCAAGTACACGTAAAAAGACAAGCTTGCAGTTTCAACTCGTTATCTCGTGCTCTCTTGCCCTTGCTCGTTGCATCTTGCTCTCGTCCTCTTCTCGTTCCCAAAGTGAGCAATCGAGAGCAAATCAAGGCAAGGTAGGAGCAAACGCCCCAACAACAGGAGCAATCAAAAGCCAATCGGTAGCTATCGAGCACATCAACTGGCAAGCGGCACGACAAAGCGGCCGGGGAGCCGGAGGCGAGGAGAGCCCAGTTCGCCGACAGAGCAAATGACGAACCCGGTGCTCAGCCGAGCGCTGGCGCTGCTGCCGGCGCTGCTGCTCGCTCTACTGCTCAGCGGGTACGCTGCCGCGCCCAGCCAGGCCCTGAGCCTTACCCAGCAGCAGCAGCAGCAGCCGTACCATCAGTACTTCAAGCAACCACTGCAGTCACTGCACCAACAAAAGCGTCAGCTAACGGTGGATGAGGACCTCCCGGCATTCACGGACCATGCCGCCTACGGCCTCGAAGAGCCGAGCAGCGCAGCGGCTGCCCGACACGCTGGTGGCATCATCAATGGCTGGCTCACCTACAACAAGCGTGCCTTGCCCCACGGCCTCAGCGAGGAGCGGCTGGTGCTCCTCGACAACGTGCTCTCGGCCATGCTGCGCAACGTCTACAAGGACCACCTGCCCGAGCAGCAATTGACACAGCTACCCCGGTCGGCTGTGAACAAGCGCAAGCGTAAGAGCCAGGAGGAGCGGATAGCGTTGGCGCGGCGCTCGGCTTACGGGGATCTGCCGGTTCGGGGACTGGACGAGAGGGAGAAAGAAGGGGAGGAGGAGGAGGAGGACACTCCAAGGCTGCAATACGCGGAGACGTCGCTCAGGCTCGGTAGGCGTAGCAGGGAGCAGTTGCTGGCGCAGCAAAAGAAGGCCCCTCCCAAGCGCAATCACCAACAGAAGACGTCCAAGCAGGAGACCGAGATTCGGCAGTCCCAGCAGAGTCCCGCGAACGCCGTGGCTGCGGCCTCGGCTGGTATGGCCTCCCAGTTTCTTCTGCGCTCCGCGCGAGGCAACAGAATCTACGACGTACCTCAGATCGGTAAGTCACCGTTTACTATACTCTTCTTCGTTTACCATGAAAATTGAACACTCGTATGAACTTTGCCTGATAGTTTAACGTATGGCTTTTGGCTAATCCAATTTACGCTTAAAAACAAAGATTATAGTTATGATTTTCATGTCGCAATGTTAATCAAAGATTTATTGTTTTCAACCCCCTATGCGAATGGGAAATTATTTTAGCCTTGAGCTACGTTTGCTATACATCTCCCTTATTTGGGCTACCAAAATCATTACAAGTAAGCATCCGGTTTTTGGTGTAAAACATCCGATCATATTCGGTAACTCGAGCGATCCTTGAATGAAAAGTGCCCGATTTACTTCTGAAAATGTTAAATTTTTATACAAGAGGGATCGTCATAATGTCTCTACTGTTTTTTTCCCTTTCAAGCCTCGAAAAATTGAGGGAAAGGTGCAGCTTGGTCCCTACAAGAAATAAGTAGTCTTGTAAAATAGAGAGAGGGTTAGAGAAAAGGAATGAAGCCACAAAAAGTTCCTAGCGTACAAAATACCTCCTGTTAGCCACGATTGCAATTTTTTTTTAATAATTCTATTGTACAAATCTACGTGGTTACTTTTTGAGATAAAAAAAACAATAATATAATTTCGTGGTATTATTGGACAAAAGGTCATCGAATGTGATTTAAAAAACGATAAAATATTAACAGTCGTACTAAATTGCACACACGAGTAAAGAGAAGCGTTTCCTTGTTCATTAATGGCAAATACTGCAGCTCTTAGTTGCTGATTTATTTTATAGCTTCTAAAAAAATAAAGATGCACGACCTGATCTTGGACTACGGAGTGAAAACTTTTTGAAACTAAGCCTGGAATACCGCGATGTCCCTAAAATTATGAAAAACTTGTTTCAACCCTCAAACTTTCCATGTCTGTATATAGTTGATTATCGATTCAGCGAGTATTTTTGATTTAAGCTAATATCATTTTTATTGCGTTAAAAATTTAATAATCTGGTCAAAAAAATTTTTATAATTCATAAATTAACAGTCACCTGTTATATTACCATCAGCATTAATAAATTCCACTTATCTACTTTACGGTGATTTATTTTAAACTTTCGTTCATAAAATAGTTATCAACTTAAAGTGTAAGTTTAAAAAAACTACTGTATTGATAGATGTGATAAAATATGCAGTTAGACTTTTGTTGCACGAAGAAAAAACACGATATTTATCTTATACCTTACGCAATATTTAATTTTGTTTTATTGCAACTGCAAGCATTATTAAAATTGACCATGTTATGTTTTCAGTTATTTATGGCTTGTTTTACATTCATTGGCGTGACTAACTTGTCTAACGAAACATCGTTTTAATAATTGAGCATAAAGTTTTCATTACATTATGAATATGTTTATTTAAAACTAATGTAAATTAATAAATACTATAAAACGCGAACTTGAATTATTTGAAATATTTTTTTCATTCTCATCAATATCGTAATAGAGTTCTTCAAACATTTAAAAAACACCTTGAAATAATACCTTACATTACTTTACTTCAACTAACTTTATTTCAACCTTTTCGAAATGTTTGAAACAATCGTTTTTTCATCGTTTTTAAAACGTTATGTGTTATTAGAAAGAAGCATATTAAAATGATTGAGCACAAACAACATTTTTACAAAAAAACTATTGAAATGCATTTATTTATTGACAAATTAAAAAACAGGTAATAAATTTTGAGTGTACACGTAATGGATACAGAAGGGGGTGACCAAAGAATTTGTTTATTGTTACAACATAGATTATTAAAAACACCCACTTTTTTATCAAACATGCATGAAATGAAATATTCATTTTTTCTTTTGTGTTTATTACAAGCCTCTTTCATTAAAAATACAGTATGTATATGCATGCTCACGCGAAATAAAATGCTACAATTTGATATTTACTTATGAATAGCTACAGTGCATGATTTACGTAAAAAAAAAACTTTTATCTCCGTATCTCTTGGAGTTTTACTGTTTGATAAATTGTTTCTTTTTTTATGAATAAAATACAACCAAAATAAAAAAAATCGCAATTTTAATCTCGCAACTATCTCCAATATATGGCACGCTCCACATCTTACACAGTGGATGGGTAAGCTATATGTACGTGATGTACCTACGTGGGTGGATGGTATACGTGTGCTGTGAAATATTGGTTTGCCCGTGGGATGTTGTGATTTTAATGAAGACTACATAGAAGTAAAAAAAAAAACTGGGCTTGCTGTTTGATACGTGGGCTAAAATATATGTATTTCTACACACGTATATTTATACAAAATTCAACGTCGCAAAGTTTACTCAATGTATATAAAAAGGGAGTAGCATCCGACGGGAGAGTGCAACGATACAAGATTGCGTACAACACATCCATCATCAGTAATTAAGCCCATCATTGTTTATTATTAATGTAATCCGATGTATTAAAATTAACAGATGCTTGTATTGAATTCCAATGAGAACGGAAATTTTTTAAGGTAATTTTGGAAGTCTTTACAGTTTTATTTACGAATAACCAGTAGGACACGTTGGACACAATCATCTGTGTCATAAAAAAATAAATTTTAATTCGGTATGGCTTGTCTAATCTATTGAATGACTTGAGATAGTGTCTGTAGAAAATTACTTAAAATAATCAACTTGTCATTTGTTTACATAAAAATAATAAAACAAGTCTTGTGGATGATAAAGCCTGTGTATTCGAAATTTAATTCGTCCAGGACGATCACGTGGTTTTTCACAGCGGAAAAATCCAAAAGTATCAATTCTAGCAGTAATAAAAGTAATTTGAATTTTATAATTTTTCGAAGGTTTATTTACTTATTAAAATTCAATAAAATGCAACAACATGCAATACATGGTCATTATATTTGTACAATTTGCTTTATCGATCATTCTAAAATATTGTTACATGTATACATACTCATATAACCACGTTGAGGTTGATTTCTTACCCCCCCCCCCTAAAGTCTCGTCAAAAATATATCACAAATGAACAGAATGATAATTTCGTCGGTAATACTCGTTTTTTTGAATTAATAAGTAAATCTTTTTTTTTCGCGAGTGTGACGTTGCACTTTCACGCCCTGAGACACTATAGAGTGTCGCAGCCAGGGCGGTCCCGAGACAACGCCCAAAGACTCTATCGCCAACAATCTCGCCAAAGTCTGCCGTATCCTGAAACGCGAAAAACAACCCCTGTCCCCACGCTCACGATGTCCGCTGCTTGGCCCAGGAGACTCGTCTCTGAGGAGGTCCTGCCGGCGGTAGTCCGTCGGGATCGGACTACTCTCCCAAGGAGAAACGAGGCGCGACCTGTAAATTCTGAAGGAGGGAAAAACACACGCACGACAACAAACGAGATAATGATTTTAAGAACACTTCACTTTATTTTTGGCGAACTTTTACACGGGGCTTTTAGGCCCGAATCTTGGCGCAATCCGGCGCCATCGCAATAATCCGCGGCAATCACGCTTTCCCCCGGACTCTCCCGTTCTCGCACTCCACGCTTCCTGGGGGAGTCCCGCACTACTCGATCCCCCGACACACACGTAAGGACACACACACACACGCTCGCACACTCTACTTTACCCTTACCTCCGGGTTCACCATGCTCCGGGTCAAATCAGCTCTTGGCCTGTGGATGCCCTGGTCTCGCAGATGACAGCTGGGGGTGGCGATGGTCCGCGTCTCCTCGGTCGTCGGTCGCAAGGTCGTTCCCGGCTGGCTTGTTAACTGAAATCCGCTCTTCTCCTTCTTTCTCTCTCTCTCGATTCTCTCTCTCTCGATCCGTACTACCGGAAACGCGAAAACTCGGAAAGCTCTGGTTCGCTCGAAGGCTACTGCAAGAGTGTCGTTAGGCCCACCAATTAGTGCAGCCTCGCGCATTACCACACTATATCTACATACATACTTCTGATTCTTACCGCCAGGACATTATTCATACGCACTCGAACGCGACGCAATTTACAATACATACTCTGAATACATACAATCTTCGTCGATAAAGAAGTACTGGATTATGACATTGGCGCGGTAATTACAAATATTCTTTAATACGCAGAACTATACAGTCTTGGGCTTTTCTTCGGCGCTATGTCTCCTCTTCTCTCCTTGGCGCTACTCCTTGCATCCGATTACTCTCACGTAGAACATGAAACACACAGACCCGGACCTTTATTAGCTTCTTATAATGAAAATAGAGTCCACCTTGATGACGCGTTTCGGCGCTTAATGCTATAGGTCAGAGAAAAATGACTCCGTCATACGAGAACGCACGAGCAGACTCGTGCACGCTCTTCGTCCATCGTTTTCATAGTGCTTCTATCTCGCCAAGCGCCCCTTAATCCGTTACGTAAGCGGAAAATCGAACAGGTCCGCGTTACGTGTCTGCGGCGAATGTATCTTTGGCAGAGCAGGAAAAAGGCATCACCACTATTTCAAAAGTAAAAATTTAATCGATTACCATTTTTATATGAAAAACTTTCCCCTTTTTTCCCTTATGTGTCCATAGACTAATTTCCATACATTGCTTGTTACGTTAAACGATCTTTATTTCACGTTTCCTTTTCTTACTTCCGAATTTACGCCAACTCTTCACACTTGGCCATTTGATAATTTATAAAGTCGTCATGTTTGAAGAATCGCACGCATAATAGGTGCACAAAGTAGCCACGCAATCGGCTTTGCGTATAATAGGTCTTCTTAGGGGTCGTACAACGGTGCTTTTAAATCCGTTGGTACTACCTGATTTTGTGCTAGTGCTTCGCAATCTACGTGGCTATGTTTTTTTCCGTTTTTTTTATTCCCGTATGATAATGTGCTACATCTCCACAGTGAGCTTTTTTTTTTTTTTTTTTGTAAGCTCTTGTTTTGATAAAATTTTTATGATAAAAAGCCACAAAACTTCGTAGGTTTCATCTTTGTTGTGAGCAGCTACGGTGCTGGGTTCTAGAATCGTTTAATCATGGC